GAGAGAGAGAGAGAGAGAGAGAGAGAGAGAGAGAGAGAGAGAGAGAGAGAGAGAGTGTGTAAAGAGAGAGAGAGAGAGAGAGAGAAACGTACAGAGAACTGCCCACAGCTTTCATTGAGTGTGCCGTCGTCCTTCATAATGTTGATGAATTGCAGGTTGTGCCTCTTGCCACATTCGTAATCATTGTGGTCGTGAGCAGGTGTTATCTTCACAGCACCTAAGTTCAAATGTCTCGTTATGTGCACATGTTCATGTACTACTCTGCCATGTATGTATTGTGCATATACAGGTACGTACATAAATATTATATTCGATTATTCGATTCGATGAGACTATTCGATTTGCAGTTGTTTAAAAACATTGCAGGCATTGTTCAATTTGCAATTGCAAATATCTGCAATATTTATAAAAAAAATGCACGGGCTAAAAACAACTTCCTAGATGACCATGATGATAAACTACAAAAAGATTTAAAAACTCAATTGCAAATTGAACAACGCCTGCAATGCTGTGATATGTTTAAACGACTGCACACACATATGTACTGTACATGTGTATGTGTTTGAATGTGTTTATAGTAGTGTAAGTTCACAATACACAGGTAAAAAAAGGTTTAATGCTGTTATGTATCAGTTATTATTTATAAACATTGCTGTTACTGCATGCAACAGAATGCCACATAGACGACACAGATGTTCTAGCTTGAAAAGCAGTTGAACGACAGGCGTGAAAAGATCATAAATATAAAATGCATCCACAACAAACACAAATATATAAAGATGAAAGTCGGATTCTTCATTCAAACCATCTTCAACTGGAAGCATAATTAAAAAATTAGATTGCAAAAAGTGATGATGCACTGATTAAATGGATGAACTTCTCTTATTTTTTTGTTATTTAATACTTTTTTGAATAATTTTCGCATTTCTATCTCTTGTACGGAAGTATAATCCACAGCTTAATAACAGAACTGAACTGAAAACTGGAGATTAACAAATAATTGACAATATGAAAAAGTGAATTATAGTTTTTTAGCAGCTTTTAATAAACAGTGCTGATTCAAAGTAGAGCTATTCAATAACATTCAGATCATCAACCTTATATAACACTGTGTAATTCACTTCAATTGTGCAATTCAATTGTGCAGATCAAACCACAATTTCAACAAAGAATGAAACTTACCCGTTCCGAATTGAGTGTCAACCATGTCGTCAAACACGATAGGAAGAAGTCGATCAAAGAAGGGATGAACGCAGGACTTGCCCGTCAGATGTTTGTACCTCGGATCGTCCGGATGCACCGCCACCCCCGTGTCACCCAACATCGTCTCAATGCGAGTCGTTGCAACGACTATCTCTTCATCTTCAACGTTCATAATTAGTTGTTAAATATTATTGAAGAACATCGAACATTCTTTTAAACGAATTAAGCTTGTAAACATGTCTAATAATAATTAATAAACTTATTGTTGCTCTTTTGGATAATTAACAAACTAGAGAAGAGCTAACTTGAATTTTCAACGGGGTAAGCAAATGACACGAGCACTCCAAATTCAATCTTTTCATCATACCCTGGCACAGATAACATCGTTTGACCAGTCAGCTCTCGCTTATCAACCTGAATTCAAATTTCAAATCAAAATTATTTAAATTCATTTCCACTTAAATAATAAAATTGTTTTATTATGGCTAGACAATTTGAAACAATTCAGCGGGATCCTAACTCCTCACATAAACTCTAAAACCACCTTCCTCATTGATAGGCAATACATTATTTCTTAATTCACACTACACTACAACTTATAAATTACAAGCAAGTAACCAGGACAAATTTTTTTTCAGTTGAACAACTGAATCAAGCAATCAAACATACAATAACTGATGCAAAGTCACACAACTGTAAAATAACGAGAGACAGACGAACCTCGATATCGGATATGACAGACTTGAGACTGCATGACCAGTTGACCAGCCTGTAACTCCTGTATATGATGCCCGACTCGTGCAACCTCACAAATGCCTCTGTCACTGCTTTGCTCAGCTTCTGCAATTACAAATATTTTAAATGTTAGAAAAAAAAACAATCTATGTGCTAATTCAACATAATTGATGCTAAATTAATTAACAGATACTGATGTCAACAGAATAATCTATATTAAGTAGGTTCATTAGATATGAATAGGATGTGATGTGCATTTAGCAAATCATAGACTGTGGAATTGATTAAATAAAACAATTTAAAGAAATTTTATGAAAATGAATGGATGATGAACGGAAGCTAACGGGATCCATGGTGAAACATGCCCTGTCCCAATCATAACTGCCTCCAAGTATTCGCAACTGATGATATATTCTATCTCCTTTTCTACAAAATTGATTAATATTTTAGATGATTTACAGTTGCAATACTTTTAAATTGTTTGTTTTTTTATCAAAACTCTTGAAAAAATTTTCAAAAACTAAACTACAATAAATAAATAATTATATTCAGTTGAATTGATGAACTAACTCTTCTTTCCATTTCCAAATTGCATCAACAAAAGCTTTCCTGCCCAAATCATGCCTGGTCAACTTGCGCTCCTTCCACAACTTTTTCTCCACAACGACTTGTGTGGCAATGCCCGCGTGATCACAACCAGGGTTCCACAACGTTGTCTTGCCATTCATACGATGCCTGAACAACAAATTCATCACAATGTCGAATTTTCACCCCAAGCAAATATAACTAACTTCAATTTTTGTTCTATTTGAATAAAAACAAAGAATGGTAAAACAACGAATACAAAAAATAAGACAGCAAACCATCGTGTGATGGCATCTTGTATGGAGTTGGTGAGTGCATGACCAAGATGTAATGAGCCAGTGACATTTGGAGGAGGAATCACTATCATGAACTTACCATTTGGGTTGGGTTCTGTGGCCGACGATCTCTTAATGTTTAACAATAGTATAGCTATAAAAATACAAATAAAAATGATATTGATAAAAGATGAAAAAACTAATAAAAACAGAGCAATATAACTTGACCAACCCCATATCCAGGTTTAAAAAAGCCAGATTTTTCCCACCATGCATACCAAGCTGCTTCGACATACTGGGGACTGTATGAATCGGGCATTGGACCTGAAAGATCTATTTTTAGAAGATAGAAATAACTAAGAGTTAATACTGCCCTTATCTACTTTTTTTTATTAAATTGAGTTAAAGACGACAACAGAATAATTTTTTGAAAATTAAACCTTAAAGGATAAATTACTTGTAGAAATCTCAAAAATCATTTATTTCAAAAGAAAAAGTCATATGTAAAACAACAACCTTTTTTGTCACCAGGTTTGGTACTTTTATCATAAGTGATTGTCAACTTCTCCTTAACTTTCTTTTCTTTACCTTCTTTCACTGACTGAAAATAATTTAAATTTGCATTTTTACAATTATGGCATTGAATGTTTTTATGAAGATCAGGGTTAGGATAGCTCTGAGAAAAAGAGTTTAACCATCTCTGTTTGGATGATTTGGATATAACACACATTTGGCAATAAATATAGAAAATACAAATGATTTCCTTTTTTTTATCAAATTTTTAGAAAATTGTAATTTAACAATAAATATTTAAGCGACAAAAAATAATTAAACATGTCACACACTTTTCAAAACATTTCTATATGAAAATTTGTCAACTTGACACTTATAGTCTATTTTTATTTATTAAGGAGGGTTGCTTCCATTGCATCAGCTAGTGCTCTACGGATTCTTCTAATTTAAGTTGTAATCATAAAAATATAATAACTAATCTACCTGATACTAATTTTTTACTAATAACTAATTAATTCAATTATTAATTTAATTTTAAAATTTTTATTTTAATTTATATTATTTAGAAATATTAATTGATTAATTTATTAATATTAATAACAATGATGTAATGATGAATTTGAATAGTTAGTTTGAATTTTAAAATCAATAGAAAACATTATTATTACTAACATCTGCATCAATTTGCTTCTTTTGATCAATTTTGGATTTTTTAGCATCAAATTTTGCTAATTTTTCCAACTTTTTGGCTTCTTTTGCCAGTTGCTTAGCCGTCTTAGGCGGTTCATTGTCGTTACCGTTTTCAGTTACTTGAACGTCTGCCATCGATCCGATTGTATGTTAGTTCAACAATCCACTACTATGTTTTGTTTTCTTATATACGATCTCAAGCTCAATCGAATTGCCACAAATTCAGCCAAACTGACGAAACTCGTGGACAGTGAAAACACGTTGAAAAGTAGCTTGTAGTTTAATTAGAGATGCGGCGATAACTATCCGTTAAAGATTGGTCACGTCTTTATAAGCAAACGCAACGATCCATGTACTTAGAAATACAACGACGAAAAGCGAAAGTTAATATATCGATTATATATATATATATATATATTCATATATATATATATATATATATATATATATATATATATATATATATATATATATATATATATATATTAATTGATGAGCCTAAATTAATTTCAATTAGTATGTTTGATTCATTTCAACATGTTTGAAACTGCTATTTTTAAATTTGAAAACTTAAACTTTAGCATCAAAAAACTGGCACCACTGCCAGAAATTTATCTTATTATATGCTTATTTATTTTATTTTAATTCTACTTAATTTGACTAATATTCTTTACATTCAAAATTCTTATTTTTCTTGTTTAATACCAAGCATGATGGTCGCAACTCGCAACCCTTTTATTTCAATGGTTTATTATAAGTAGGCTACATATGGCCGGTTGTGTTGTAACCACGATATTATTCTAATTATATGTTGAGTCACATACTCTACGTCTTACTGGTGGATTATGACTTGCAGATTTAAAAAAAAGAATTTAAGTGTCGTAGTGTAATCATATTCATGACATATACAAATAACAGTAAATGGTAAATGAACTTGTTTGCAAAACCTTTTTTATCTGTTAAAACTTTTTCTCAAAATTTGACTTGGATTGATGCTTTATTTATCAATTGGATTTAAAGACGCGTTAAAACTTGGTTTACTGTATTGACTGTCGTTTAACTGATGAATTAAAAAATTATGGAGGGTTTTAGGGGCATTTGTTACATTTATTTGAAGCACTACAAAGATTTGTCGTTAGCAAAATTGCATCCCTGAAATGAGAAAGTCTGATACTACCACTGGCAGAAGCAACCAATTGGCTCTAGCTCTATTATCATCAGTAGATGACGCTTTGGCGCCATCAATTCAAACAAAAAAATGGCAAAAATATACAGTTTAATGGCAGCCTAACACAAACATTTGATTTTTTACTACGATGCATATATAAACGACATGAAAGCTCTGCGTCAAAACAAGCATCTGTTACTACTTCTTTTTCTCTCGAACCGATAGACAGAGTGTAACCGCGCAAAAGGTAAATGCCAAAAACAATGCTTTATGGAAGAGCTTCTCTAATGTAACTCTCAACCAAGCGTACGTCTACACATCTATCAGTCCACTGATTGAAAACTAAATTTTTAATATTATACCAATAATAAGACATTTAAATATAAAATTGAAAATTAAAGTTTTAATATTATACAAATAAGAATAGGTCATTTAAATATAAAATTGCGCAAATTAAAAAAAATAAAATAAAATTGAAAACATGACTGAATTTGAAAAAAAAACATGGCTGTTCATTTATAAAGTAAATTGAAGTTTAAAAATAATGTTTAAATTGAATTTTCAATCAGTAATCTCGTTCTTCGGGAGGTCTGAAAGGTACTCCAAGGTATTTGAAGATGGATTCTTCGGAAGTTATCGGAAGACTACTGCCTGAGCACACTTTTACACCATTCTAAGTTTTTATAATAGATATATTATAATTTTTCGGTTTAACTAATTAACTTTTTAAAGTGATTAATTAATTTATACATGAGATAAAACTATAAAAACACAGAAATCATTTCCAGTACATAAGACCAGCTTACGTTTCTTGTGACTCCAGTGTAGAGACCATGTTCATTGAGAGACATATTCATCTTTGAGGCCATATGCCTCATTGATCTGTTGAAATGACCTGATCCAGTGAAGTAAACAAGAGCAGTGTAAAATTCGTTGTGAGGAGTCACAATTATATCAATACGACGGTGCTTGAAGTGATAAATAGAAACAACTTACTTGTAGCTATCTAGAAGCTCATGTGGTATAATTTGAAAAAATTACAAGACGTCATTTGTAACATAGTAAAAAAAATAAATAGTAGTAATAAAAGTAACTATTTGTCCTGCAGTCACTCATTTGAAAAGCTATTTATAACATATAAAGCAAAATATAATATATTGTTCATTAACTTTTGATTCTGGCAATTTGCACAGCCCCAAATATTTTTGTTGAGGTCCGTTATGAGCAATGATCAATTCATCCGTCAGAAACCCTTTTAAAAAAATCAAAATAAAGCATTGGCTTCAAAAGAATAACAAATAGCAATGAAAATGTTCTTACAAAAAACCACTACAACAATGTATGTGTAAAACGCCACGGAGATATTAAAACATTTTGAATAAAAATATAACTCATATTTGAAATAAATATTAAAAATAGCGCAAATTATTTTCCAGAAGCAATAGATTTGAATAATCATGTGATTTTAACAATAAAAAGTTAGTTACCTGTCTCAGTGAGCGATCCGATGAGAGCATCAAACAAGCCGACGTGAGAAGAGCCGTCAGGATGTGTGATTAAAATATCCACATCTCCACAAGTTGTTTGACCACGCCTGTATGATCCACACACAACCAACTCACAACCTACCACCAAATTCATTTACCCACTTTTATAAAATTGAAATAATTAGTTATAATTTATTTGATTGTTCAGAGCTCCTTTTTAAGTGGGCAAGTATTTCAATTTTCTCTAATTTCAGTATTTTCATAGACACTGTTTATTTAAAACAGCTCCAAGAATGGGCTGAAGTTATTATTAAAGCTAGCCTCTTTATTCGAAAATTTTTCACCAAATGAACAAATTAAATTAAATGAAAACATCATTTGTAAATTTTAAGAATCAATAAAATTGTGCAACAAGATAATTGTTTATGCATGTATCTTAAAATGAGCCATACATACATGTACAACAAAATATGTGCCCAGTAAAAAGAAACCCTGAAATTAAAAATATTTTATAAATCCGCACTAAAGTCAGTCTGACTAAAGAGTTTGGTGAAAATGGAAAGTCTTAAGTTACAAAAGTGGATAACAACTTTGAAAGTTTACTTAATAAAATCATTTAAACAACCTGGTCTCAATATGTTGACTTCTGTCAGTACCTAAAATAATCAGTTTTCAAAGTATAAAGTAGACATTTCATTTAAAGTTTACCTTTTATTGTCCAATGAAGTTGATTAAATTTCAAACCAACTTATTTTAATAAACAATAAATTATAAAACTGACCACAGATTCAATTTTTTGGACTTCGGCTCTCTCCATCCTTTCAATCAGCTCATCATAATATTTCAATCCAATTTTTTGACATCTTGTCAACTGAGCCTTCTCTTCAAGATCTTTTAGACTTCTGAAACCTTGAGCAAACCAAGTTTGTGCAGTCTTCGGTCCGGCGCCCCAAACATTGACAAACGTGTTGAGTGACGTCACCTCTTCTGTTTCAGACAGTTCATCTAATTTCCTCAGCTTGCCACTTTCAACTATCTCCCATATTTTTTCTGCTAGTTTTTCTCCTACACCACTTAAACTTTTAGCTTCCTAATTTTAGCATATAAAAAAAGCAAGATTAATGAATAGACAACTACAATAAAATTGTTTGAAACATTTAAAAATTTACACATTGTAAAGCATTGAAAAGTGCTGGCATTAGGCAAATCTACATGTTTAATTTAAAAAAGCAGCAGAATAAATGTTTAATTTACAGATGGAATATGAGAATTCTCCATGAAGCCAAGTTTTCATGATAGATTACATATCAAACAGTCTAATCATCAGAAGATGTATAGCAGTGAACTTTGCAAAGAAAATAAACCTAATTTTGCTAGTAATTGTAAATATAGATAAAAAATTAAACTTTAATTTTGATAATTACAAAAACATAATATCAATAAGCCAAGAAGAGAAAATGAAACCTCAAATGTACTGATCTTTGCTGGGTGCTTCTTCAATGAAATTATAGCTTTTTTGTAACTTAAAGCTTTCCATTTTTCATTTATTTGTTCATATGTCTTCATCATTTGCTAATAGTGAAATAAAGTTATAATTAAATAAGAAAATAGTAAATATTTAAAAAATACCTCTAAGATGTCAGTCAAGTGTTTGTTGTGATTTTTATTTTCATTTTTGGATGATTCCATGCAAATCCATTTACTTTTAACCTATAGTACAAATTATATTTGTGTTGAAAACTAAACAGCCAAAAAAAATACTGAAATTCTTCTTAATAAATCATTTACTGAAACGTATACAATGTCATTTGACAGGTAATCCAAAACATCTCTTCACAAATTCCAAAGGAGTGTGCTGAGTACAACTGCATGGTACTCTTCCACCTTGGTATAGTACATAATTCTCTTTATTCTCAGACATTTTAATAAGTCAACCAAATGAAACACATATCATAACCAGGTGCCATATATTTTTATAATTACTTCTTGAAAATTGTTAGAGCAATTAGAAAAGATGCTAAGCACAGTAGAATAATAATAATAAAATTAATAGAAATATAACAGTAATAGAAAAAAATTTAGTCTGGCATAGTTATGACATGACAAGATAGGAAGTATTAATGAAAAAAGATTACACATTTGTCTGCAATTCCTCAAAATATCAGGCTAATTTAATATTTTAATACCATCTAATAACTAATTCTAATATAAATTAACATTTTTAAATATTAAAATTAATATTAATTAAATAAACATTTATTTCATTTATTAACCATTTTTTTGTTTATTAGTCAATTAATAAGCAAAATAATTAAATAAAATGAAATACATGATTTGGAATGCTGTTTTCAAATAAAATTTCTTCATCACTGCTGTAGTCACTTTCCTGCTGTTCGCTGATCACAATCGAATGCTTATGAAGATTCCTATCATTTTTATTATTAATATTAATGATTTTATGCTGATCAATCACTTCTTCAGGGATTTTAGCATTGCAGATTACAAAATCATTACAATCTATAAACTTTTTGGCATCAATGCACACGCTCAACCATTTTGATTTTACAATTTTGAAGGGTGCTTCACCATTATTGATATTAGCATTAGTAGACGATGATGTTAACAGCGAGCAGACAGCCTGGTAATCCATCTGATCATCTGCAACTACATGCGTCGTTTCACCTCCCTTGAACGAACTGTGCACCACCCCTCCAAGTTTCAACACATTCCTTTCAAATATCATCGTTCTTGCTTTGCATATGCCAGTTGGCAGTATGTATATTTTGAACATTTTAGCTTTTTTAGCATCTATTTAAGGAAGAAAATTAAGAGTTAACGAAAGCTGACGAATGAAGAAAGATTCCTCCTTTCACTACTAATGACAATGTTGTCTCTAATTTCAAATCTATGAATCCTTGTCGTTAAATCCTTGCGAAATCATTAAAGTTTCGCATTCACCACTGTAACGATAGTAGCACATCAAAGTTGACTTATCTTTGTAAGCAACCAATTTTGACTTGTACATCGATTTTATGTTTATGTTACAAATGTTGTTCTTTGGTGCCGGTGTCCTCTGAGAAGTTCTCGCTGCCTCTTCACGCGTTAAATCATTTCAATTCAAATGGAAAATTTACAAAGTCGGGTTCAGGATGCAGTCAATGACATGTTACTCAAGTTAGACAGCAGCCTGTTCCGGAAAATGCAGGTTATATAATTGTATTATCGCTCAAGTTTTTTCACTAATTTGGTTTTTAATTATAATTATTTATATTTATGAAAAATAATAGATAATAAATTAATTGTTATTAAAATGTAAAAAGCTAGATACTATATATATATATAATACGAACCCAATTTTTAGAAGTTTTTTAGTGTATGTTTTTTTAGGGCTAGAAAAGCTATGATGTTTATTGTTAAATTTGATAGAAATATAATGTTTTATCATGTAGCTAAGACAGCAACATTTTTAAAACTTTTTTTGAATGGCTTGATATTATTTCTTGCATTTGTTTTTTTTATTTATGATTATTCAGAAAGATATGTACAAGTGTAGTATGAATTGTTACAACGATGGCAACCAAAGTATGGAATCTGTCCAACGCTGTATTGATTTGTGTTCCATGCCTGTACAGCATTCCCACGAAGCTATCAACCAGGAGTTGCAGTCATTTCAAGTTTCTACTATTTTCAATTCAGTTTTTTAAAAAACTGTTTTCAATTTCTCTTCAGTTTTCAGTTTATCTCTTACAATACTTCTTATAGAAGTATTGTAAGAATTAATATATAAGTTACAATACTTTTCAAGTTTTTATAAATGTGTGTATTACAACATACACTTACTTCATTCTATTTCATTTGTACTTGTGTTTAATGGACACTCACAAATGCTATGCCATTTTGTGTAAGATTTATTTTAACAATTAAATATTAGTGTTCTATTCTATGGTTCTTAAAGGATAGGTTGTATCGATGCTCGTTAGATTGCCAAGATTCTGTTAAAGATAAAGTTAATTCTACTTCAAGTGCATCTGATTATGCCAAGCACAGAACAGAATTGGAACAGTGTGTTCTAAAATGCGGAGACAAGCATATAAAACTAATTCCTGCAATCATGAAACGCGCAGAACAAGTATTGAAAGATCAGCAAAAAATTTTGGACCAGAGACTTTAAAATTAAAAGAAACAGAATGTCTTTGTCTGTTTAATTTTTATGGAAATACGACATTTTTACTTCAGTTTTATATGTTAATAATTTCATATTAACAATGACATAAATGTTTCAAAGTATTTTTATTATCACAATTCACAAATCTTCAAATGGATTGTTAATTTAACAAATAATTGTAATTATATTAAAGATCGGATGAGTGAGTTGTTAACATTATAAATGGAATGTCAAATTGGCGTGACGGGTCCCAAACGAATTATTCATTTGTAAATATGTATATGTTAATAAATACAAGCTTTTCATGATCTACGCAAAGCTCGATAAGTTAATAAATACTTGACAGAAATTAAGACTACTTGCGTTTTTGGTTTTAGTGAGTTATCTAGCATCAACCAACCGTGGTATTTTGTACTCTTCTGCAAGGAAATTCGACACAGATCACTTCGTACTTAGTACTTGCTTATACTTTCTATAAGATTCACGTGTGTGAGTGAAATATATATTGATAGAATGAAACTAATGCACGCACAGTTACTTTTTAAAATGTTTTATTCAAAATATGGCGACAATCCTACTGAAGAGTTATAAAATGAATACAATAAAATAAATAACTTGAATAAGAGTCTGAATTCAAAAAAAATGTTCAATCATAAATAACATTTAAATAAAACAATAATAAATGTAAAATATTAATACTGGGATAAACAGAGATTGGTAAAAAAGTTATTTTAATGGCACAAAAAGATCACAATTAAAGAAGCAATAAATATTTTAATATGAATATGACGATAAAAACAAAGCCAACATCAATCTATAACTGCATACTTAGAAATATAAAACTTGATTACAGAATGATTTTTAGAAATTTAGGTAACGCGTTGTAACTTCATTAAAAAAACTATATAAATAGTTGAAATTCAATTTTAAAAATTAAAATAAATGTTTGGAAGTTAAAGCTTCAAAATGATGATGAACTCAACGTATCACTTTCGATGTTTCTCCAAAGTATCAATACAAGAGGTTCAAGCGCTGATATGTTTGCCTGGTCTTGTTTTTATTTGAGACGCTGTACTTATAGTCCATTCATACGATGACATGCTAGTAAATATGTTTGAATTTATCATTAGATCATTCGGTGGAGCGTTCGTAGTACGCGCTACAAAACTTTTAGACGCATTGGAATTATTTGTTGGAATGCTGGTTGTATCGGCTGTCGTTGTAATCGCTACTGTTATTGTCTCAGTTGTAAGATTATTATCAAATTTATTAAAATTTGTTACTTCTGAAGTATTTGTTATGTTACTTGTTGGCGTCTCTGAATATTTCGTCTCTTCAACGTCACTGATCGTCGTTCTCGTTGTTGTCATTGGTTCAGTTGTAAATTTTGCATCATGGGTAGCAATATCATCATTTGTCACTTTTTTACCATCTTTTTGGAAATTTTTTTTTATAGTATCTGAGTTGCTTTCTAGGTTTTGTGACGAGATCGACACGTTTACGTCAATTTCCTTTAACTTTCTCAATGCGTACATTATGAGACATGGAATTTCGTTATTGACTTCCTTGGAATGAAAAGCGGGAAGTTTGAATTCATTAACGTTTGGGCTATCCATTAATGCTTTTCCGATGGAATCGGACATGTACTGCTTTAACAGATGTAGTATCGTGATGGACAAATGGTCCAAGCTCACTAACATTACTTTAAATCTTTCTATATCCTTGTTAAAATGCTGATTCACATCGGAGTCGTTCATGTGAAATCTGTCGCGAAGATTTTTCAACAGGCTCAAACATTCCATTTGTTTTATGTAAAATTCAGTCAACAAAGGCACAATGTTGTTTTCGGTAATATTCTGGTGTAGTTATTTACGTTTATTATATTATAAAATTTATAATACGCGTGAGTGTGTGTGTGTGTGTGTGTGTACAAAATATTTATAGTTTCAACAAAATGAACCTACTTTATCATCGTTGTCACGGGGAATGTTGTCATAAAGTTCTTCGTCAGTGGGGCAACCGACCTCGTGGAAGCGCTCTAAAGACTTTAAAATTTGTTGAAAGTAAAAAGATTATTTGAAACATAAGAATTAGCACAGTGACTTATATTCAAGTTATAATGTTATAATAACATAATAACAATTTTATATATTTTTTACTTTTGATAACATAACCTTACAGCTGCACTACAGTAATGTTTACGTTACAACGCTACGTACGTATATTTGTTGAAAATAAGTGTTAGAATTCAAGTTAACAAATCTATTTTTAGTTGTTGGTTTAAGTTCATTTTTTGGTAATTTTGCTTTCCTAAAAAGAAAACAACGTGGCCATACATAGTTAATTTATGGTAAAAAATAACAAAATTATTTCTCTAACTAACATGTGACGGAAATTTAAATTTTAAAAATTTTGTAAAATGCAATGTCAATTGGATAGTCTGCATGAGAAGTTCAAAAAATTTTCTGAACAAAAAAAAAACTTCGAGATTTAGTCACCTAAATTTTTTCTAAAAATTAATTGTTATAATAAAAATAACAAACAGCATCATGCAAACGATCAAACTGAAAACTATTCAAAATAAATATTGAAACGTGAAAGCATATAAACATAGTGTTGAGCGAGTTAGAGCTTCGACTCTCACCACAGCATTGGTTTTACATATCATTAAGGTTAAAAGTGTTGCAATTTCTCATAAAAATATCTTACGTTTTTCCCAAGCACTTCCAAGAAATTAATGAGATTAAGAATTTTTTTTGAAATTTCGCTCAGAATAAATTCCAAATGATCATCTCCAGCCTTATCAGCAGCAGACGTTTTCTTCTCTTCAATAGGCACTGGATGAGTTAGTGCACCGACCAAGAATATAACTGTTCGAACGAAGAGTGGAAAATACAGATGTAAAATAATAATTAGTTCGAAAGAAGATGCTACGTTAATAATGAAACTATTAAAACTTACCAACAAAAAGGATGACCATTCGTATAACGGAGTCTAATTTGATAGTCCACTCAAGAACGGACCGTTACAAAAAAAATTGTTGATTAAAATGTCAAAGAGCTTATTAATTGTATATTATTTATCGTTGTTGTTTTTTATTTTTATTTGTTTAAAGTAAGTAGCTAATCTAAATATAAAAGACGTATTTAAAGGTAACTAGTGCGTTAATTAGGCTCTCAGATTTTTGAATGTGATAAACGAGTTGAAATGGTCGCTTTTATAGACGAGCAGGTAGGTAGGTAGTTAGGCACGTTTCATCACATGTCAGTCATCAATTGTTTTTGTAAAGTAATAGGGATTTTTCTCAATTGAAACTAGGCAATTATATATATATCTAGCTGATGTTATGTCACATTGATAAGCGTGTGTGTGTGCATGCGGGTGTGTGTGTGCATGCGGGTATGTGTGTGCATGCGGGTGTGTGCGCGCACATTTATTGGAAATGCACACGCCTCATTTGGCCTTTCAAATATGAACAAACGCAAATTAAATTTTACGAAAATGTATGTACGTGTGCACGTATGAGTGTATCTATGTATGTTAAAATTAGTCTAAGTTAACATCATCAGCGTATAGGCGTTACTTCGTTTGTTTAATTAAATGAGTAATCTATAACCAATCAAGTAAGAAGAGAAGACAAGCAATTACGTTAGCAGTTGGCGGTCGATGCAAACTGACAGCTTCCGAAATAATCACACTCATCGTCACTTGAGCCACACACGTCACGGCCAATTTCTGGTATCGAACGTTTGTTTCTGACAGTGGCGCGTGTAGGTGCTTTGATTAAAAGTTTGAAAGGATAATTGTCCTTGTACGTTGTGCACATCAAACTAAATATCAATAAACGTAATGTTTATCTTCACATTTTGTTTAATATAAATAGTGGTAATTAGCAATCAACGCGCGCACACACACATACATGCTTACATACAAACACACATACATAAACATACATACCATACATACACACAAACACACACCCACACATACACATACATACACACATACATACATATGTAGTACTGACTATGAGTTTGTGTGTGTATGTATGTAAGTATTATTATTATTAAACGAATAATAATAATAATAATAATACATACATACATACACAAACTCAGTATTACATACACACGTACACATACACGCATACATACATGCACACATACACATACATAAACACACCCCAATTCATCCATACACAACACACACATACATACACTTCTTTCCGGTGTCTTATCCTTTTAGGACATAAGCGACCATCGACCTCCACAAAACCCGATCTTTAACACTTTGTAGTTGTTGAAATGTGGTGATATTCAACAAGTGACACGAGGACTTCACGAATTTTATTCATTGTTGACCGCGATCTTTTCTCCCTGCAATCTTTCCAGTAGTTGTTAGATTTTCCATTCTTTCCTTCCGCATGATGTGACCAAAAAACTTTAACTGCCCCCGTCGGATTATTTTTAGTAATCTTCTCTTTTCATAACCGAACTGTTTTAAAGAGTTCAAACTAATTTTCATAATTTTTCCTAAAAACGACATCTCAGCATTTTTTTTCATTTCTTTAGAAATTGTCCAGGACTCAGGGCCGTAAGTTAGGAAAGGGAAAATGTAACACACTAAAAGTTTTAATTTTGTTGATATTCTTGTTTTACTGTTGGTGAGGATGTTTTTCATTTTAGAATATGCATCTTTCGCATCCTTCGTTTTACATCACATTTGCAACTTGAGGTGATCAGACTTTCGAGATAATTGAAGCTGTTGACTTGTTTCATCTGTTTACCATTAATGATTATGGAGCAGATCGGGCGGTTTTGCTTTTACTGATAACCAAGCACTCTGTTTTGTTGATGTTAATTTGCAAGCCTTTTCTTTAACTTTCAAAAACCAGTTTGAATCAATTGTACAACGTTCTAACGTTCCATGTTGCCACAGTAAAAGCTGTATTCATCTTATCACTATTAGATTTTTTTATTTGGTCTGTGTTTGTCGATGATTTTTTTGGCAAAAGTTGTGGACAGTAGGTTGCCATTACTTGCAGTCAACTTTTCTACTTCTATATGAAATGGATAATGATAAATCACAAACACACACACACACACACACACACACACACACGCACACACATACATACATACAAACAGACACACTCGGACATACACACATACGTCCATACACACATAAGGAGGTGCACGAATTAACAATGCGATGACTATCCAAAGTAGTATTCGGGATACAATTATTGAATTAAGAATTTTCTGATGTGAGTGATTTAGGGATGATTACAGAGCAAGAAATTTATGCGGTTGATAGAGTCTAACTACAACTGAACATCGACTGCAACTGAACATCACGGCATGACAATCTTAACTATGCTTCATCTTTTTAACATCCTCACCGCGCTCATGCGATCAAACTTTTAAGAAAAATAAAAAAAATGAAATGCTATTGCGTCAATATTTTTTTTCGCTGTCAATATAAAACTGAAAGTCATCCTCATCATCGTCCTCATCTTAGTTATCAGTATTTTTTAACTTCGTTCCTCATAACATAATAACTACTTACATTATCACCCAACATACAAACTGAATACATTCTCCAATATTCTTGGAGAATGCACACACCCGCACATACACACGCACACAAACACACACACACCCTGTATAAGAAAGAATGCAATAGTACTAATAAAAACGACTTCAATTGTTAGTTAACTCGTAAAGCAATTTAGTAATTTAATGTAGGTGATTGTAATAGCAGCTTAGCAATTAGGGGATGAAGAATTTCTTAATTGCATTTTTTTGATTGCATGTTACTTTAATGACAAGTGACATGGATCATCGGCAAAAACTTCAAAGAAGACCCCGTTTTCATAGGTAGGAATTGATAGATGCATCGAAAGAACGCTTTGTAGATAATTTCACGAAAGCAAAAATGTGACGAACATCCATCTAAGCTTGCAGGGAGTTCAGTGAATGAATCGAGTTCGTCGTGGATAAATCGCTAGATTGAAAAACACATTTACCTGGTCTTTCAGTCTTTCTTTTCTGTGGAAACGATAATTAGGCTGGTAAAAATTAATTTTAAATAATTTAGAATAGAGCAAATTTTTATAAAATGTTGAAAAGAAACTGTGTTATTAATTTTTACACATAAAAAATGAATATAAATGTTCATAGCCATCGTGACATATTTGTTTAATTTTTATTATTAATTATTGATGGAATTTTTTTAGTAAATATTAATGATTAATTGGTACTTAAATGAAAGAATGGAAATGGATAGAAATAATATTGACAAGATGGTAGTTATCGACATACCATATATATCATTCAGTTAGATTTTTGATAGATGATATATATATCATTCAATTAGATTTTTGATAGATGATTTATATCATTCAATTAGATTTTTGATAGATGATTTATATCATTCAATTAGGCTTTCATCAACTTCACTTCATCAGTGGGGTAGATAATTGGAAATTTAATTACATCTGTAATAATAACAATTGCATAATTATCATGTGATAGTCCATTTAATGTCATTATGATTATCAACAGCAACCATCAAAGGCGATGATGAACACACACACACACACACACACACACACACACACACACACACACACACACACACACACGCACACACGCACACACACACATACGTGGCAAATACAACGTGAATGTATGTGGAGATAAAATACAATTCAATACAATGATGCAAATAAATAAAATAAAATTGAAATATATATACACACACACATACGCACACACGCATATATACACGCACACAAACACAATCCCACGCACACACACGTGTATAAGCACACGCGCACATCTACTTGCGAAGACCGAGGTATGTGTCGAGTGAATGAGCAGGATGAGATTAACAAAATGTCAAATCACTAATTTAATTAATTATTTATTTATTTTCAAATTCCCTCCCATATTGAATCATCCACTTACTCCTCCTTTATTAATTATAGCGATATATTTCTCATGTTATTTATCAACCGCAACTAATCCCTAGTTAGTTGATCATATCTTACGTCAATGCCTACTTATTAATCTGTTTAAGTATTTTTTATAATGACGTCACGACGACAATGAGAATGAGGAAGGGAGGAAGCTAGGATGATTATTATGACAACGAATACGATGATGACGTCATCATCGTTAGGATGACGTCAGTGATGATGATGATGACGATGATGAGATCGTATCAACGATGATGATGATATATAACGATCATCATGAATGTATAAATATATTTTTAAAACCTCAAAACTTTTCATAATTTTATGAAATTTATAAATTATGTGTGCACTTTTCCATATTTTAATCACTATTGTTATCTTTTTTCTATTTGATGTTTTTACGGCGGCCATACAAGTTTGCATAAACTTCCGGTCACTCAGTTGAATAAATAAATAAATAATTGACCTCATAGTTAGTGAGTTGTCTCACAACAGCCAACACGTCCACAATCTGGTCAGTAATCTCATTGTCAAAATGATCGTCATCAGTATCGCTATTTTCATCATCATCATCATCTTTTTTTTTCATCACCACCATCATCATCGTTATCATTATCATTTCAAGATAAAATCATTATCATTATCAATTACAGCCATCGTCGTCATCATCATCATCAACAACATCATCAACAACTACATCACCAACAACATCATCAACAACAACATCAACAACAACATCATTGATTATTTTATTACTGAGTAGGTCAACACAAAACAAAACCGTACATTACACATTACATTCATTCATAGTTCTTCAATATGAGGCTCATAAGGAGAAAAAATATTCAATTGAACAAAAGCTTATTTGTTGTTAATATTACACTATGCTTGCATGTCTGCGTGTATATTTGTAAGCGTGTATGTTTGTTTGTCTCTCTGTGTGTGTGTGTGTGTGTGTGTGTGTGTGTGTGTGTGTGTGTGTGTGTGTGTGTGGATGTGGATGTTTGGGCTCGTGTTTTTACATGGACGTAGGTTGTATAGTATGCATGTTATATATGTATATAAGCATACAAGCATGTAGGTATTAACTTTAGAACGGAGCGTATGTATGTAATTACGCAAATCTTGGGTACTAGCATGCATTTAGCAAAAGTGAAGATGAAGATGAAAGAGAAAGAAGACGTGATCTGATGTCATCTGATTTGCAATTACCATCTCTACAGGAGGCAGAACAACAAAGCCATCAAAAAGAAAGTTTTTGTCTGGTGATTTTCGTAAATTATTTTTCAAACTTCACCGTTTGTATGGCACTTATTTTAATTATTTTTATCATTTCATTACGTGTATCTATGTCAATTGATCCGATTTGATTTCAAGAGAGATTAATGAGATTCAAATGAAATTTTATAGCCATTTTTTCTTATTCGTTCTCCTAGATTCGAACAGACGAACGAACGAATATAAACGCAGAGAGAGAGAGAGAGAGAGAGAGAGAGAGAGAGAGAGAGACAAACAAACCTAGGGACACACCCACACATTCACACACAACAAGTCTTAGCGTGAGTAATTGTACAGTGTGTGTAGGTAACAATTATAATGAAGGATCACTTGATTTAAATCGGCTAGTTATTACACGTGCACGTAGCAAACATTCTGATCAGTATAATTAAGTCTTACTTTGTTACGCTAAGAATTTTTTTATTTACAAACTTTACTTGAGGAAGATTAGGTAATCCGATCCCATAAATATTTGTTTGTTTGAGACGTTTGTTTGTCGTGGACTGATTAAGTGATTAAATGGTTAATTGATTAATTAATTAATTAATTGATGGTTGTATTTAAGATTAACCTTCATTAGAATATACTTTCGCTTCAAAAGATGCCATCATATCATTGTTACATATTTAAATCAAGTTTCGATTCTAACCTACATGTTAATAGATGTTATTATTCAAACGAAGCAGTAACAATGAAAAACAAAAACAATTTTTACTAAAAATAGGCACATCAAATTAATTAAGTTTGTCTTTTCAGTCTAAAATTTTCAAACGATAGAGTTATTATACAACTCAAAAGTGTCGTGTGGCTCACTCAATCCAAGAAACAGACAGACGACAGCATCAACGTGCTGACTGAATATTCTCTGGTGAATCAATGAGATATTTAATTGTAGCTAATTGATTACACCATAAGACATTTTCCATTAAAGTTTGTCAGCTTTCGATATTTGCACGCAATTGAAGTCTACTTTTCACACTTAGATAAAAATTAAATTTGAACAGTTACACGTTTCATTTTATCTACAATTTTTTAAATCAAAATCAATTTTTATAGCGGAAAATTTAACATACAACTAATTTTTCAAACCCATTTAACAGGTCTTAGTGCCAGTTTTTGATGCAGTTGCACAACAAACCACACATTAACAATTTTATAGAACGCATGCTTTTAAAATAATTTTGTTAGCCAAATCTACAAATTACACCTATCTCCCGATTTACAAGGTAGATACGTTCCTGAGAAAAACGTGTAAATCGAAAATTAAAAATTCTCAAGTCAAAATCGTGTAAATAGAAAAGCTTGCAGAAAATGCATAATTTTGCTATTAAACAGTTGTGATTTTTTTCAATATGTTTAGGTGTACACAGAAATAAAAATAAAATGCATTGACAGGTTAAAATATGTAATATATTACGGAAACACTGTACATTAATGTTTGAAGCAGAAATATTTACATTATGAGAGATGGTAATAAAATCGGTTATTAACAATTGCTTCGAATTTTTGTAAGATCTTTGTAAACTTCTTCAATTGAGCCAAGTAAGCACGTGTTCAATCACAGTAGCATTTAGTAGTGTGTGATAAAAACAAAAAAAAAACTTATTTGGAAAACCGTGTAAAAGCGAAAACGTGTAAAACAAGTACCGTGTAAATCGAGGGATAGGTGTAATTCAGTTTTGAAATTCAGGCACAATCATTATATATATCCATGGGCACAATTCTTCCGGATATGAACAAATCATTCAAAAAGTAACGCGTGGATGATTAACCCTGAACACATCAGCACGAATTCAGTTTTCGTTTTTTCAAACAAACATCTGACGCAGTTTATATTAAATGAATATGCTTCGTCATATTCTAACCTGGCCACCGCGAAACAGGACCAGTCGCTTTCAAACACTAGGCCAGCCATCACACTTCCTGTTTTTTGGCGTTTTCACTATTTTTTTTATATGTTCGAATAATAAATCGAGTATTTGAGGTTGGAGTATAAACGACTATGACACGATCATCGACACCTCATGGGCGTCCTTTAAACCTGGCCATGTACATATGACAACATATTATATATATTCCAGATATATATTAACCTGGCGTACATTTTTTTATTTACTGGACTGATATTTGTTGGTGTTTTCTTTACTTTATCATTAAACACTACTGCCGTGTCACTCCACGAATTTTTTCTGTCTCTCCACTTGTTTTTTTATTTAAAATTAGAAAAAATCTTTATTTATTGGTTTAATGGTTAACTAGTGCAAGAAAACAAGATATAGTGCCAAATGGTAAAAGGTAGGGTCACGAACAACTTAACAGTTAAAGCTTTAGTTTAAGGATGTAGAGTAAAATCAGGAAGGCCAATGTAGTGCGATCTACAATAATCAATCCTAGAAAAAACTAATGGATAAGAATTTTTATGCTGCGTAGAGGAAAATAAGACCTTTTAACAACATTGTTAATCTAAGAGAGACGTGCTAGAATCGAAAGTAAAACCTGGACTATGTGAGACATACTTAGAATATGTAGAAGATGTAAGAAAATGAAAAGAATCAAGTTGATTTCGTTTGTAGCAAAACGTTATTAAATGCGTCGCTTTCTTCCGTTTATTATTTAACATTTGCAATTCAGCTCTGTGCAATTCCGTTTTATTCTGTAAATGTGGTTTCTTGTACGTGTACTTGTAAGTTAATATTCTAATTATATGGTAAGTTTCATATAAGTAGAATCTGTAGATTAATATTTGAATATTTTTAGCCTGTTTAGCCAGAGCTTGCACCACTCATTATGAATATTCAACAGCACATTCCTGATACTACTGAAGGTCAGTCTTGTTCTCGGCTGAATCGTTTAAAGTTGCGTTTTAATCAGTAATGGCGGCTCTTCAAGCTCTCATCCGCTTAAACCCTGGTTAGAATTTATAAACAGATTCAACTGTTATAGCGTGGCGAATAAATACGCATCCCAAAATTTTAAAATAAGGTTTCGAAACCAGTTTGATGCTTATTTTCACTTACTGCCTTGTCGAATAAAATTAGAAAAATTAAATTCAAATGGCGACTTATAATAAAATGACATTTTAAATTTTAATAATAAAAACCGTCATAATTTTTGAATATGTTGCCATTTTGATTTATTTTTTGAGCCACTGATAGGGATATCTGACCTTGGCTAATAATTTTTATTTGCTTTGCTTTCAAAAAATATAGTTAATTATTATTTTCATTCATTTATTTTTAATTATTATTACATTATGATTACATTACATTACTGATTACTTTAAAGTTTACTAGCATTGCTTACATTTAGATTTCAAATTATTTATTTTAAATTTCTATTTTACTATTTTTACTTTTATCTCCAACTAAAATTTAAAATTAAAGTCTAATTAAATTTAAGTAACATCTAATATTCTAATTGTTAAGTTTTTAATTATATATATTTATAATTTACCTATATAAATTATATACTAAATATTCAATACTCATATTTTTGATTATTCATGTTTTGTTTATTCATGTTTCAATAAAATAACTAATGTTAGTTAAATTAACATTCATATTTGTTGGAATTTGTTTACTTACAACACTGTAAATAAATACTAATCACCTGACTTTTGTTTTATAAAGCTTTGACAAAGGGAGCCACAAAGCTCTTTCTGAGTCCTACTAAATTGTCCAAGGCTCTTGTTCAAAAGCAAGGCCTAGTGTTGACTTCAGTAAAACAGAAGAGGCTTTATGGACCAGGTGAGTTGAATTGAGTGTAATGCATAGTAATTTAAAGTTTTAGCCATAGTGATATAGATATGTAATTTCTTGTTTCACTTAGAAACCGATGAGGAAAAACATGATGAAGTGCAACACTGGATAAATGAACGTTATGCTGCCGTTGCATTGTTGCCACTGATTCCGGCAGCTCTTATTTATCCTAATTATGTGCTAGACACTCTGTTGACAACTGCTATGGTCATGCACACTCACTGGTAATTTTATTTTTTCATCCTATACCTAATTTTATTTTCTTGTATCCATATTCACACAAAATAACCTTTAAAAGCTTTAACTTATCGGAATTTTTATAAATTTTACAATATCTATTTTAGGCGCTTGTCAGGTGTTGCACAGGATTACATACATGGGCAGATCTTGCCTAAAATTGCAAGACCCACTGTTCTCCTCATCACCATTTTTGCTTTTGGTAGCATTTGCTATTTCAACTACACTGACATTGGTTTCGCAAATGCAGCAAGATTGCTATACACAAAATTGTAAATTTTATAATTTACAAGTGAGAAGGGGTCAATTGAATGACAGACATTATTATTTAACTGGTTCATGACCTTACATCCCACTGTTATAAATTATTAAATTGTTTTCTAGGATCAGTTTTTTGTTTAGATATTTGTTTTTTGTTGTGACCAGTGATCTATAGTTGTTTGACACAATGAGGTTTTACAATTGTTACTTTCAAATTCTAAAAAGAAAGATTAAAGAAGCAAGACACGCTTTTTTAAATGACATATTTTTGAAAATAAAAAATTTCAAATAAAAATTTTCTGACGTAATTAAAACTGAAAAAATTTGATAAACTAAAGTCACAATTATAACATGATGGGCCAGTAAATTATCAATACAGATGAATTAAAATAGATCACAGTTTTATGCAACATCAACTAATGATAATGGTTATAAAATAAAAAAGTATGAAACTCAATTCGGAATTCGATTGTACAATTTGGAAGGTCGAACAATGGAACGCGTGAATAAATTAAAATGTACTTCAAAAGATATAATGCACACCAAAGTATGTAGCATTAATGAAATTTAGACATCATTTAGACGTAGGTGAATATCCATCTCTGATTATCTGAATAGTCGTTTTCTGCAGCTCCAATGGAGGTTCCGATCCACTTTTTTTGAACACCAGTGTCCAGAAGAAGACCATCGTGTTTGTTTCTAATGTGCTCTTTGGAAATCATCCATCCCTGATATGAGTTCATTGGATTGTATCGGTCCGTGTGCAATGATCCTTGGGTTTTATTTAAGTTAAAATTGGACTTGCTCAGTTTACTTGAATCAAAGATTTAAAATGCCTCTCACATTTCGATTTTAAAAATGTAATATAAGCAGTTTGTTTAAGTGGAAGGTGCTTCAAATGTTTTTTTAGGAGTGTTGCATAAAAATCGTTTAGGTGAGATGAGAGATATTAGATACTGAAGATAGGTTGGTCGGTAATGCTTATTTGCTGTCTTAGAAAATTGAAAGTTATTCACATGCATCATCACATATGATAGATGGAAATCTCACTACAAAGTGGAATCAGGTACCATCAACCGTCTTAGTGCGACGGCGTGATGAGTTGAAACCACCCTTATCACGCAAAAATGATCCTTGAGACTGGCATTATATTATGAAGTTCTTAATTGAACTTAAACTTATATTGGTCATAGATATCGTAAACAAGGTGGCAACCTATGCTGTTATGTAAGGTTCTCTACAAATTAATTGATTGCAAAATTATGTAATAAAATATTTTGAAATGAGTAGATTCTGAAAGAAAATGTTAAGTACCAAAAGACATATCCATAACGAAGCCATTTAATTTTGATCTGATCAATCCATTCTCATCTTCATACCAGAGTTGAGGAGCACTTCTAGTTTGTGGCTTGCATTCCGCCAACACCACTACGCAACTTGTATGCAGATTCTCCCTGCGTGCTTCCAACACTTTCCCTGATAACTTGGCTGTTATGTAAAATGGACTGCCAGACCTGATTGCAATGTAGGTTTAAATGCAATGCGTTATTTGGAATTGAGATTGAATTATCACCTGAAACACTGATAGTATAGAAATTGTATTTATTAAAGAATAAGATTTCCTGTACTCATAAAAATATTTGAAGTGTTTTATTTATTTCGTCATACATATTGCAAATCACTCAAGTTAGTAGTAATCAAGATGTTCAGGTTGCATATAAATATAAACTGCAATTAGAAAATCGCAAACATTTTAAAGAAAGTAAAACAAGCAGAGATGCTAACCCATATTTTAGATTCCAGATTTGATGATGTGAATCATAGTCAGCAGCCAGATAGCACTGCATATTTGATGGCGCAGTTACCTCATCATTTGTACCGATTGTTAAAATATTTTGGCTGTTTGCTTTCAAATATATTTTGCTTCCATCGACAATGAATTGCTGATTTTCATTATCTAGTTCATAAGTATTCAAGTAGATGTAGGAATCTGTTGAATCAATAAATTTATAATTTTATAATTATCAAATTTTAAATGATTTAATAAAATAATAAAACTTGAAGCAGACAAACCTCTGGCTTCCAAACAGAGTTTATCATTTAATTTACTCCTGATAACACCGTGGCTCTGATCGATGAAAAACAGCTGCTCATCACTAAACATTCCATTTTCTTTGAGGACCAACTTGGAAAGTCCAACTTCAAATGGAGGAGAGCCACTCAACATGGAACCATGCTGTAGCGTTGAGAGTGCAACTTCAAAATAGCTTTGAAAAATGAGAAAAAATCGCCCTTTGCCACTGTGGCTGTATTGAAAATTGCAACCATCGTAAAAATTGTGATTTTTCTAAAAATTATGACCAAAATTCATTCATTTAAATTGACGGTCTTTATATTTATTCTACAGTTAGCATTAATAAATAAAATAATTTGCCTTCTGCCGCAACTAACTCAAAAGCATAAGAGTTGATAGACACAGGTTCAAAAAACCATTCTTGAGATTTAGAATTATTGAATTCAGAATAAATAACGGTACCAAAAGACTGAAACATTTGCTGTTTGACATCTAAGACATGGTTGGGTCTGTGTTGATTCTGTATATAGCTTCCGTTGATCAACCACTTTTGCCTTCTTGTGTTTTTATTGTAGGGATACATCACTATATTGTTATCTGTTAGCAAAATAATACTGAAATAATACTGCGTTATAATAATTTGTTATTCTTATAATATGCAAGAAACAAATGTGGAATATATTTATGGTTATAATTTCTGCTTCATTTCCAAAAGTTTTTTATTCCATACTAATGCAAAAAGTACTAAGCATAAGTTGAAGCCTTTGCAATTCAGGTATAATTATATCAAGAAAACATTTAACATCGACGTTGGGCAAAAACAAATCTTTGATTACATAAGAACAAACTCAGTAGTTACAAAAATGAAACGACGTACACACCCAGGGCGTTGATGATGAAGTCATGCATTTTTGAATGTAATATACCGTACTGATCTTCATACCACAGTTGATTATCGTCAAAACTTTCCTTCTGGGCATATACTATGATCTGTGCACCAACACTGGCCGATTCACCTAAGAAATACGTTCACCTAACAAATAAGTTCACCCAATAAATACATTCAACTAATAAATACGTTCACTCAATAAATATTTTCACTAATTAAATACGCAAACACTTAGTAAACATATTTAGTAAATCAAATATTAGAAATCTCAAATATCTATCCATAAATGCATTCCTCACCTCTTATATCAAGAACTTTATTCGTCATGGCATGCCTTATAAAGAAGTAAGCTGCTGGCCTAAAAAAATTAGAAGATGAAAAGACCACGCTTAGTACTTTTGAATGGAAGCAATTAATAATTTCTCACACAAATACAAAGGTTAGATTTGAACTAAACAAATTTCTTGAAAAAAAATTAATAATTTTCTTATCCAAAGTTTTGTTAAAAGCAGAATAATAATTTTTCAGCATAGTACAATGAAATAATAACAGCATATTTTATAAATAAAATCATAATAATAAAAACAGGCAAAGCAAATAGCGAGGGAACAGTATACAAGGGCAAACAAACATTTTTTGTGAATTGGTTAAATGTGTAGAGCCGTTGATTAAATAATTAATTAAACATTGTCTTCAGGACATTGCACATACGTTCATAAAACATGCTTATACCAGATGATAGAACATGCAAATAAATGCAATATTCATACATATTATATATGCAAATGAGTTTAATTATTAAGTAAATAAATTTTTCAAGTGTTTGTTGGCGAGTTATTTGAATAGCAGATCACAATTCTTGTTGTCTAGCCAGATGAAAAAGAATGCCAACACTAAACTGCGGCTGTAATATGTTTGGGATTGTCATATTATTAACAATTTTTTAATTAGTACTACTATATTTCCATTGAAGATGTAGTCTAATTGAAAGTTTCCAAATGACTTTGAAAACAAAACAAACCTACCAAAACAAATCTGGTTAATTATTTGCAACTTTACAAACTTTCATGCTAAGCATTTATATATTTATAGGGTAATTCATTCATTTTTGTCAGTTATTACCATCTTCAAAGTTGGTGTTAACTTGCAATTGTACATTCAACAGGCAGCCAGTTAGTTGTAATAGAGGACATCTTACGCAAACCGAAATATTTAATTTGCAGTTGATATTTGTAGCACAACGTTTAAAATGTCACCAACTGTCTCGATGCATGCGCAATCATGTTGGTTGTTGTCATAGAAATTGCTTAAAGCAATAAGGCTAAATCATTAGCTAGTATAAGTGTGAAGAAGAAAAAATAAGTGGATAAGAGTTATAAAAAGCAGATAAGTATAAGTATCATCAAATGTACTAATTTGAATTCGGTTGAGGAGCTACACTGGGGAAGGGACATGTTGAAATATGGTTCTAATGTTAATTTTTTTAACCTTTAATAAATAGACAATAGCAGTGAAATTCTTCATGCATTTATGCTGTCAACTTTTGAAACAATAACAGTATTTCCCAGATCTATAAGTTTTTCGTTTTCGCTGCCTTATAACAAAATTCTTATCCATATTGTGAAAAGACAAATTATTATCAACAGTGTAGTGTTGGATCTATTATGCAAATAATAAGGTCAAATAAAAAAGTGAAAAAGAGAATGTTGATAGATATAAGCCTGCAGAACTCAAGCAGTATGTGCCTGTTTAATAAATAAAAATACTCTTTATCTTCTGTTTGCTTATTTGATGCAAATTTGAAACTTACCATGTTGAAAAAGTTAAAAATGCTAGTTGTTAATAGAAATTACTTTAACAAAAAATTATACTGAATTTTTTTTAGATAAACCGTTTCCTTCATTAAATTTTTTTTTAAATGTAAAAGCTTGGGTGGAGAATCTCTTGCAAACTGCTGATGACAGCATAACATAAACCACCGAAATTTGTTGCAAAAACTTTAACACACTAAAACATCAACAACCACAGCAACTATCCATACAAGTAGGTAAATTTCCAGAGCTGTCCAATGAGGGCCTCATACGGGGCCACGTGGCAGGGGGCACCAGGTCGAAGGTTGCTATCAAACAGCGTGAAAACATTTTCAAACTCCTTCTCACTTATTATGTTATCATGCTTCATATCCCATTGCTGATTTTCAGAGTTTGAAAACGGTTGGACAATCAGTTCATCTTTAGCTGGAGTTAAAGTGAGAAATCAATAAATTATTATATAGAAATATACGCTCATTGATTTAATTATTAATAGACTAAGATTTAATGTAAGCACACAAAAAAGAAAATATGAAATTTCCAATTTTTGTTAATCAATCTTCACAGGAGAAATTCTTCAAATTAAAAATTAATAAACAGGAAAATAAAAAAATAATAACTTTCATTCAACCAAATATTCATTATTAATGTAATTTAAATAACTTCTTGCATTTATTATGCTAGCTATAAAAGATGTGGTTCGTTCATTTGATTATGTGATGTTGTGAAATGTAAATGTAAAATATTATTTATGAGTAGTTATATTTTACATGCACCACACTGTTTAGTACAGACAAAATTGAACTTATTTTAAAAAGTTATTTATATCTGCAAATAAACATAGAGATGAATGAATGGATGGATGAATGAATGAAGTTTAAAAAAGTAACCATTGATTGAGATGCAGTGGTGAGATAATTTGCTCCTTATAGTCAAAGATGGATGATCCCAGAACCATAACTGCTTATCCAGAGCTTCACTTTCATCTTTTAACAGACCAACAACCACTTGCATGTCTGATTTAGCTGAGCCATTTTTTAACTCCAAGACCAAATCTGGTTGGCTCTTGCATGAAATCAAAAAATATTTTCCAAGCCTTTCTTCTATGTTTGATATTTGGTCGTTTGATAGTTCTGAACACATTCTATTTGAAGAACTGTTAAAAAAGTAAAATTTTTGATTAAAATAAAAATAATTATGAATAAACAAAGATATCATTTAACAATGAATTATGCAATAAACAAATAAATAAATAATAACTATTTATTATTTATTGCATCTTATAATAATTTGTAATAAAAATAAATAGGTTGATTTCTTAATTCTTTCAATCCTAATGATAATACGTAATAGATAGTACAATAAATTATTTCATTTTTAATAATAATTAAAAAAATAATAAAGTGTTTCTTTAATTAATTTATAAGAAAAGATTTTAAATATGTTTTTAATTTATTAATTTTAAATTTATTAAGGCAAGCTCACATGACATGAAAATTGTGTGTCATGTTATGTAAATGTAGTAATAAGTAATTGTAATGTGATCTGTTATGTGAATGCAAATCTCTGTTTTGTTTCTAATTCTTCTAATAACTAATAATAACAATATATATAAAAAAAAATATTTAAAAAAAAGTGTTTAATTTTTAAATTAAATTAAACTTTAAAAGTCATATCATCGTATCATAGCCAATTGAGAATTCAGTAAACCGGTATAAGCCAAAAAGTTTATTAACTAACCTAATAGTAGAATAAATTAAAAAACTTTGATTGTAACAATTAAGATGGATTTAATTAACATTATTTTGTTTAATACTGTAGAAATTAAATATACAAACAGATAAATAAACTCGGAATTTCACTTTTCAACAAAAAAACGTAAGGTTGTAAGTTATTAAATTTAATTAAAAACCTGTCGTATACTTGGAATAAGTCTATAAAATAATCCGTTGGGCAAATAACCAAATTCTTAAGGCAAGTTAGTAAAAGATCAAATTTTACATATATTTTTTAAATATAATTACAAATATCAATTGAACTGAAGTACTTGACCTGATAGATACAAAAAGTTGGACAAAACAATCAAAAAATGTGCCTAGAAGCCAAAGAGAAATGGTTAAATGACAAGTGCGAAATCATTGAATAGATCAAAAAAAGTAATACAAACGCAATGTATAAAAACATCAGAGAAACAGTAAAATCAGAATATCAACAAAATTAGAACTGTTAGGGTGTTACATTTGTCCTGTGCTCACCATGGATATGCTCACTCACGGATGAGTCCTGAGCAATTTCTAAAAAAATGGAAAAAAGGATTAAAGCTGCAGATATGGGGTTTTTGAAAAAAATAATGAAAATTAGTTGGACCTCTTATATCCCCAAAGAAAATGCATTAAAACCGTCCGGTTATGAAAAGAGGAGATTACCTACTAAAAATAATTTTTCATACTTACTGGATTTGGTTTGTAAGGTAGGTATTGTTTCCAGCAAATAGAACCTTTTGTTCGTCTACTGCCAATTCTTTGAATCTTGGCAACTGTAAGCACTTTTGCCGGATATACTCAACAAACGCCCTTACCTTCCAAAATTTATCCTTTTTTTATATCTTCTCTGTAACATAATCATACGGAGGGGCAGTTAAAGTTCTTAGATCACATCATGGGAAGAAAAGAATGGAAAATCTAACAAGTACTGGAAAGATTGCAGGGAGAAGAGATAGCGGTCAACAACGATTAACATTCGTGAAGTCCTTGTGTCACTTGTTGAATATCACCACATTTCAACTACTACAAACTATTAAAGATCGGGTATTGTTGAGATCGATGGTTGCCAATGTCTTGAAAGGATAAGGCACAAGAAAAAAAAAGATGACTTGAACTGAAACCTGAACGTACGTAAACATAAGATCTGTGTGTTATAATATTTTGTTCATTAGCTTTCGTTTATCACCAGAACTGTAACTGTTAAGACATCACTGCATCAGGAGAACCGTGTGCGATGGGGAGGAATTGATAGGGCAGCAATTCCGATTTAAAATACCATTTTTTCATACTCTTCCCGTTATAAATTTTACTGGAAACACGAGTAACAACAACGTACGTTGCATGCCTATATTAATTTGGGCAGGCAAAGAACAAATGTTGATCTTATGTTATTTTCCGGGCCGAGGCATTCGTTTAAACAAACAAACTAGATGATAAAAGATAAGGTTAGAAAATATCGAGATTGCCATGCCTTCCATGCACGAAGGAAGCTACATAACATGCACTTGGAGGATCAAGCAAAAGCTGAAAACTGACATATATAATTTATCAACCCTAATAACACTATCATATCAAATCCAACTTTAGAATTTTTGTAAATTAATCTAGAAATATTCGTTACTTAATTAACACCACAAATAAACAAGCTAAAAACATGAATTTTATGTTTATCAGATCAGGTATTGTTTATCGGATGACAATATTTTTAACTTGGTCCATAAGAATCAGATTTCTAACCCACCCTGGATAGACTGGTGCAAATAATGTCTGCAAATAAAAAAATTATATCATCCAAAATGAAATGAAAAACATTAAATCAATAGTAATTGACGGCACTCAAATATAAAAAAGTTAAACAATTATTTAAGCAATGTAATAAACATAACAACCCTTGAACTTTGTTATGCTCGATAATGTTTTGCTTGTTGTGAGCATTTTACATCGACAAATTGTTTTTGTGTAGCTGTTTGTTGCAATTTGTCCCATCTGTGCTGACCGCAGCCTAATTTGAGAGCGGGCTCCAAGTTTTGCAATTGGAAATGAGCGTCTGTGGATGTACGATAAATTTGCTTTTGCTGGCGCGCGCAAAAAAAGAGCAAACGTTTATTACGTTGATGGCAACTTCTCAACAAACGTTTGCATTGGCACTAATTGGAAAATATACTTTCGTGATCTATTAGCAATCAGTGTATAAATCTGTCTATTCGAAATTCGTGTTAAACAATTTTGATTATTCAGTTTTTTCGGGAAATTTTTAACGATAAAAGACAAAAAAAGTATCTCCACATTATCTCAATACAAATAGTTAGCCATGGTATTTCCAAACGTCTGGATGAGGATAACGTTGCACGTAAATTCTATCTTATCCATCTACTTGAATTCAACATATCCAATCTTGAATACGAACCAAAATTTAATTAAAGAACTGTGAAATATAAAAATAATCCTGTACTTATACTTTCTACGCGCGCGCGCGCACACACACACCACACCACACACACAAAATCACGCACAACAAACGTTAACACATGCTTACACGCATTCACGCAAACAAATAATCCCACAAGAAGTGTACAATTGTAAAAATGATCGGGAAACGATATGGAATGTAAGGTAATAAGCCTCTTATTACAATCACCATAACAAAGAAACACACCTCGCTCCCTCAGGCTCTGAATGAATGAACATCATCAGGCAGGCAGAATAACGGGCAAACAAAACAAACACACATGCACACACACAAAAACACGGAAACGCTCATAAACATATACTCGCACATACATATATTGTATATATATATATATATAAATATATATATATATGCATTCATATATATATGTATATATAAACTATACGTTATCACCATCACTGCAGAATATTGTAGTGAATGAATATATCACTTAATCACCAACGATCGGATTTGGAGATCTGAAGACTCTGTGGCAACAAAGGAGCGGAGGCCACTAATAATTTCTAAAATCAAAAAAAGGTGTTTTTCACGATAAGTCTTTCAACAATTTGTTGCCAACAAATAAGATTATTCGAACATACTATGCAATACTGTGATCACATTGTGGAAAATTGAAAAAAATTTTGAAGGTTGCAGTCAGAACACGGATATATATATAACTTTGATTAAAAAACAAACACGAACTGTTGAAATGCTGATGAGTTGAGTAACCAACGGTTAAACGAGCAAGGACGACATTTGCACTAAATAAATCTCATTTCTTAAATTACATTTAGTCAGTCACTGCACCGCCATGATACGACGATGTTCCTCATTTTTATTTACATACCTGACACCATCATCAGCCTTAGTATAATAAATATTATATTATATAACTTATAATTGATTTGAAGAAAACTAATAATAAGACTGACTTGTTTAAAGTTATGTTGTGCTTTGTTCACGTGGTTCAGTTTGAATTTGATGAAATAATTTTAAAAAATTACCAAAAATATCAGAAACATTTTGCAGATATAATTTTTGTTTATTTTGTCATATGCAAATTAGCTTGTTATTAAAAAAACTGTACCCCTACGTGATTCCAAGAGTTGCCGTATGGTGTGGTGTAGAGTGGTGTGGTGTGGTGTGCAGTGCATGATATATCGTGGCGACAGATGATATCTTCATCAGCCACAGTTCAGCATATGAACCATAAACAACCAGCATATCATAAGAAGAATTGCTGCTATCTCATTTCTATTCTTACCATCATCATTATAATCATCATCACCATCGTCATCATCACCATCATCATCATCGATCATCATTGCCGGTGTCTATATATTCATTCCCATCTTCATCATCAATATTACGAACATTTTTGTCATTATAGCACCATCGTTATCATTACTATAACTACCACCATTGCCCTCATCATCATCATCATCATCATCATCATCATCACACGCTTTCTACTTCCAGCCCATCCTATTGATATCACCATCAAAAGCAATCATCGTTGGCTAATAAGATTATGCGTGTAATTCCACAAAACACACACTCACACAAAGCACGCACACACACACACACACACACATATATATATATATATATATATATATTTATTTATTTATGCAATATTTGATCAAATCTACCAAATTTTTAGAGTTTGAAAGTTTTCGGTTGAGCTTTCCAATATTTATAAATAACAGTAATTTTATAATTATTATCCGATTGTTTTTGCAGTGTGGACCAAATTAGACAGGGGACCTCTATTATTTTCTTGCTTCTCACGCCAATTTCCGGCGATGTTAGAGACATAAGACGGTGCTGTTGCTCTTAGAACAAAGAGTCTTACTGACTTTATAAAAATCTGACCCCTCTCGGATCCGCCACCAGACTTCTGCCATCTTCCTCATTTTCAGGTAGTTGATGGCTTGACATCACTTGGATTGTTGTTGCTGCTGAATTTCCACACTCCCTGATGCGGGCCAACTACGGCTAGGAAACATCGACGACCATCGTATCAGAAAATTTGCTGTCAACCCAAAGACGAAATGTAGTTGAATGTTGTTATTTTTCTGTCTTCACGTTGGATTATGGGTGGGGTTTAATGCATGTATGTATGCTTGCGTACGTGTGGTGCATGCATGTACGTCTACATGTGCATTCTGAATATACAAACATATTTGACATTTATTTTTTCCAGCCATTTTTTAGACGATGGGTTTAAAGAGAACTAATATAAGAAACAGGATGAAGAAAGAGAGAAGTGTAAGAGAGAAAGAGAAAAGAG